TAATAGCTACAGTCTTAATATGAATAAAGAACCTGAGAGCTTATAGTCAACAAATCTTCATAACCTTAATAGCTACAGTCTTAATATGAATAAAGAACCTGAGAGCTTATAGTCAACAAATCTTCATAACCTTAATAGCTACAGTCTTAGTATGAAAAAAGAACCTGAGAGCTTATAGTCAACAAATCTTCATAACCTTAATAGCTACAGTCTTAATATGAATAAAGAACCTGAGAGCTTATAGTCAACAAATCTTCATAACCTTAAGTCATTTATAATCATTGAGAATTTGATATTTTGGTTGGTGGCGCAATTTTGGTGCAGCTGGCTGCTTGGTAGAACTTCCAACAATCTTTTATGAGGAATTTGTCTTGCTTATTGGTATGCAGCATGACCAACTTTCACCCAGCATTCAGTTTGAAGGTAAAGGTGCTGCAGAAGAGTTCTTGTTTTAAGTATCCTTAACAGCTTGAGGTTATTGATGCCTACATTTAATAGATAGCCTTGAGTGTGAATGTTCAGTATCCTTAACAGCTTGATGCCTACATTTAATGGATAGCCTCGAGAGTGTGAATGTTCCTTTGCCATGTGCTCATTTATGTCATCTATACTTTGACCTTAGGTCACCATTTGTCTCTTAAATTTATTTTACACTCCTTATGGACTCGTTACTAACAACAGTTTAATGGGTGTCATTAATTTTCTTGACAGTTTATTATAGCGATGAATTTGCACACAGATTTGACGCTTATTTCTGTGTTCTCTTAACATAAAGTTGTGCCTTGGGATAAACATCTTGGCTTAGTAATGCACTAGTGTTTCAACCTCACAATCAAAATGAAATATGTTTATGCATACACGTGATTACTTAATGGATCTCATAACCTTGTTTTCATAAGTGCTATTATCTAATTCTACAAGTTTATAATAAGAGTATTTCCAGAAGCTACTCTGAAATATTTTTACTATACGATTAGTCAACTTCAATATTTTGTCAGTATATTCTGTTCTTTACATGTACTTGTTTCAATAATTTTTATACAGTGAAAATAAAGTCCTTTGTAATGGTTGTCAGTTGCTGGGTGAAGAAAAATATCCATAGTTACCAAAATAGTTTTTACATAAAACTGAAGAGTTGTGTACACTTAACAACAGTTATATTGACTTTTTAATGTTAACAGATCAGTTAACTATGACAGGCGAGCTTTATATAATGCATTCATTGTATATATTGTTAGGATTTGGTGATTTTGAAGTGGTGCATGTTTGTTTTTGATATGTTAAGTCTACAAGCATTAAGATTTATAATAAAGTTGTTGTGACTGGACATTATTCATTACCATGGTTAGTAGCCTATGCACTAATCAACCATCAATTGTTTATTACTTTATTTACTAATTACAAATTGTTTATGGCAGTACATTTTTTTATCTGCTGCTGTCTTAAGGGAAATCTTGGAAAGGAATACGTATTTAAATTGGATTTAAACTTGGGTCTTCTCGTTAGAAATGTATATTTAATGACCACTTCTCTGAGTTGTTGCCACATTAAGACTTAATTCTGTTAACTATTTAGATGAGTTTGTTTATTTTTTTAAATGGGTGGTGTTATCTAAGTTAACCTGACTTCTGAACTAGGTACAATTATGTGTTATTTTCCCCTTAAAAATAGAATGTTACAGATAGTACAGTCTTGAATATATGTACTTCTACCCTTGAATTATGCTGTTTTTTGTTCTCTTTATTTCTCATATACTGAAATTTATATTCATCAAGTATAAAGTGGTTTTCCTCTCCACTGATTCTTTAAGTGATGTAGTGTACAGTAACTGATATTGTTTTGTGATTTCTAAACACTTCTGACTTTATTGTTCTTACATAGTCCTCACACGAGTAATGTTGTATGTGTATATACTTCCTATTTTTTTCTTTACATTTTTCTTCTTTATCAAATATTCAGAATATCCATTGTCAAGGAGAGCCATAGTGATGAATTTTTCTTCACTTTTCTTATCCTCTGGTTAACAAATCTTGTTCTTGCTGAAGGCAAAGCAGTCTGTAATATCCAATGTTATATTCACATGATGGTTTGATCTACAGTTAAGATGTTCTCTAGTGTCTGATTTTTTGTAAACTGGCATTTATGAGTTATGTTTTATTGATAATCATGTCTAGGGAAAGAAACTTAATATATTTTTGTATTGTGAAATGTTTCATTGATTATTGTCTTCTCGTATGGCTCATGAATTCTGAAATCTTGTTGGTAAGGTGTTGCCTTATTACACATTTATTGGCAACATATCTGAACTCTCCTGGTTCTTAGAGGAGATTTTTAGATGGTATTATTTTTGAAATATTCCTTGTGGAGTTTACTGAGTACTGGTGATAAAGAGTCTTGTCATAACTAGGCCTTACAGCATGGGGAAAACTGTTCTCTTCTAGAGATAATCCTGCATTTGTTTAGTGTGAACAGAAAGTTGGAATCCATTGATTCTTTATGTGTGCTAACTAAGATTGTGTTTTACAACTACTTTGTACATTTTGAACACCTGGGAATATGGTTCTGTATGTATGTATACTTGCTGTTTTTTCTTTACATTCATCTTCATCAAATATTGAGGGTTTCTCTTGTCAATAAGAGCTATCTTCTGTGTGACAAATCTTGTTCTTTCTGAAGACAAGGCAGTCTGTGATGTACATCATTATACTGTTATGGTGATTCTGTAAATAGTTGCATATGAGCTGGCTTGATGATCATCATTTCTAGGAAAGAGAGCTAATCTTTTTCTATTTTTGTTGTGAAATATATCGTTGATCATTGTCTGTTCAGATGATTCATGAATTGTGGAATCTTTTCAACAGAGAGAGACTATATTACAAATGTATTGGTAACATATCTGAGATATCCTGGTTCTTAGAGCAGATGTTTTGAGGGTGTTATCTTTGGAATGTTTCATGTAGAAGTCACTGAATTATGATGATGGGTGTCATGTTATAGCTAAGCCTTACAACATGGGGAAAAGTATTATCTTTTAGAAATAATCCTAGCCTAACGTGGACAAAAAATTTGAGACAGTAGAAACTTAAAACACAGGAGGGTTTAATCAGTAAAGAAACCATTGAGCTATGATGTTTGTGTCCTGGTGTTCTAAAAGATTGTTAGCTAGAAAAGAGTCAAAAGCTAGAGATAAAACACATTGTTAAGTGTTTTTTCAAAAAACTGGAGAATGTTCTTACTAAACTACTCATAGAAAACCAGAACTTGTAACAAATGTTAGGTGTTTGGTGAAGAATAATCTCTGTGATAACCTGAATTCCATTATAATTTGTGCAGTTCATCCATTATTGCAAATATTAATTGAACAAAGATCAAAACAAGTGTATTTTCATGTATTTGTTCACTTGTTGGTCAGTAATGTTGATGTATTGGAGAATCTTGGGAATTTACTAATGTAAGTTCAATTGTTTTGCTCAGTCATAATTCATCATGGATAGTATTTGATTGTTTAACTTCACTCAGTTTTCTTTATCTTTTTACTCAGAAAGTTAAGTGAAATGTCTGCTTTAATTCTTTGTATATTTATTTTAATGATCTTGGTATAAAATCTAAATATTTATGTAACTAATAATGTGAAGTTCAGTAATGTCCTGAAATCCAATGAGCTTCCAGTTCAGGAATGTTTTGGAACCACAGCAGTGTATAATTAATCTTGATCTAATATAATAAGCTGAAGAAATAAAATAAGCCATTTCAGGAATATAAATATATTGGTAGTGGTTTCAGTTAAACTTATATATCTGTTATATTTTACTACAAAGAACTAACAAAATAATCAAACTTACTAATATGAACCAGTCCAGTGTCTGAATAATACCTTTATTAATTGCTCTAGACAAGGACATCTATAGGAAGGATTGGGGCTTGATGTAAATCACAGACACATTCTATAAGAGGTCAGAAACAATCTTAATAAACAACTAAGCTGAACTTGTTTACCATTTTATATTTCCTCATTAAAGAAAAAATTACATTATGCAAAACAAAATTAGGAACTTTACTTTGAATGTAAATATAATGTATTTTATGTATGATCTTCAGCTCCAAAGAATATAATTATTCTGTTCATTTCACTCTCATCCATTTACATTTAAAATTATCTTATTTTGAATTGAAGGTTAAACAAAAGGAGATAGGTTATAACTTGCATACATATTTCATAATTTTTCCCCCATAACATCAGTTTTGTTGAATAAGGAAACA